AACGAGCTCTTATGACGTACTAAATGAACTGCATGAAACCTCTCAGCAGTGTGATAAAGAACCATATGACTAATATACGAACACAGAGAACCTACAGCTAAAGCTCATCGTATGAGCGGTCAATTGTCTCATGTTTGAAACAAAGGAAATCAATAAAATCCCCATTTCACAACATCTAATAAAAAAGATAAAAAGCAGAAAAATCATGCTAATTTAGCCCTCCGTTGTACATTTTGGTATATATTCTCTATACCGTGCATTACAGTTTCAGGTTTTGAGGGGGTAAAGGAATGGCCTCATTAAAAAATAATGTCCCTGTCCAAACCAAAGCAGCATGCAGGTGAACATCCCTCAAACAACACAGATGAAATCTTTACTTTGAGTAAAGCCTAAATCAAAGATAGTTAAAAACGCAGCCCTTCAGAGTTCTGCCCATTCGAGGTGTTGCAGGAAGAGTTCTGTTGGGGGAAATCCAAAGCATTCTTCATCTTCTCCACCACTGAAATGAACCTGATGCTGATGTGTGCGATCATGCTGTCCTGTACAGATGCAGGTCAGAAGGGAGAGTTCATCCCCAGCTTAGTCTCAAACTGAAGCTTCTGCCTCTTCTGGTAACGCACTCGCACCCTGAAATCAGAGCCATATTTTCATAAGCTGTGGGTTAAATGATAAATGGCATATGTAGGCTAGATTTGGACTAATTAAGTATTGAAAGGAATCACATAGGAAATGAAATAGTAGATTCTTTCAATGTAGTGAAATTTCAAAATAACTGTTTTCTATTTTAATATGTTTTAAAATGTAATTTATTCCTGTGATGGCAAATCTGAATTTTCAGCAACCGTTACTCATGATTGTTACACGATCATTCTAATATGCTGATTTTTCTTATTATCAATGTTGAAAACAGTTTTAGCTTCCTAATATTTTTGTGAAAATCGTCATATATTTTTTTATGAAAGTTAAAAAAACATTTTAAATGGCTTTACGGTCACTTTTGATTAATGTAATGTAATGTGTCCTTACTGAATAAAAATATTATTATAATTTTTAATCTCACTGGACTAAAATTTTGAACAACCGTATATACATTGTGGCCTATTCCTCACATAAAGCTATCATACAGCTTCAGAAGACTTGGAATATTTTGAATGAGTTGTATGGCCTACTTTCATGGCGAATTTATATTTTTTTATATATGCATTGATTGTATCAAAGAAAGAACGTCTTGCAGGGTTGGTAATGACATGAAGGTGAGTAAATGATGACAGAATTTATATTTGTACATTACAGCGATTTATCCTCTTACCTGATTTCATGCAGTTTTACTGCTTCATTGATTAGCACCACAAGTACGATGGACAGAGAGACCAACAGCCAGACCAAGAGGGGAATGTGACGTAGTGTGAAGACCACCTCTGTACTCCTGTCCTGCCACAACTGATAATCTATCACAGCCTGCACTACCTGTCCCAACAATCTGCAAGAAAAAACATTGGCAAAGTGTATTTAACTGATTCCAGGGAAGTGACAATAGTTCTCAAAAACATTTTACTAGTAAAAAATTACTTTTAGCATGTGACTTTGCTAATAAAATAAGCATTCTCTACATGAAACACTCACACCACAGGCACCGTGAGACACCACCATGTGTTACTGAACGGGTTCTTCCTCCACAGGGGTTGTGAACGGTGCACATAGCTCAGAGAAATGACCACTGAAAGAGAGGAAGAGAGATATGTTTTTTTTCACTCAGATCCATCTAGATAAATATTCAAATGAGACAATGTATTTTATTAAAGTCACCTGTGTGCAAAGCCAGAAAACCTGCCATGATCTTCTGAATCAAAAGCAGCCCATTGGACAATTCACTAAACCACTGCGGGCCATCCTGTGAGCTGTATACATTAATCATTGATTAGCACTCATAACTAATTCATGGCATCTAAACACAGAGAAAATGACATTCAAGTGTTTGTGTACCTAGATGCGAGTATGTGAGCGCAGGTATTGGTGCTGTTATCAGTTTTTGTGAGGTTAGCTGCTCTAGAACACACTTCCTGTAGAGAAAACCCGAAGCCGACTAAGTAGGCTAACATCGTCAGACCGAACTTCAACAGGAACCAGCCTAGGAAGTAGTGCTGGGTCTGAGAGATAGAGTCAAAAATAACATGAACGCAAACGCACATGTGAGTTACATCAAGTGTGTTTAAATAGTTTGCAGTTTAAATCGAGTGCATTGTGTGGTCTCATGACTGACCTTGCGTGGAATGGAGTCCAGATTCTTTCCAGTAGCGACTGTCATCATTGAACTGTCTGGCGATTTTCCCAGAAAGGACACGCTGTGAATGCCAACATTTTTTTTTTTACATATAAAGATCGCTCGCTGATATGACACAGTGACCTAGTTTCACTAAAATGCAACATGTGGGCATCTTTTTTGTCATTTTTTCCTTATTACCTTAGCAGTGGGTAACAGAAGCAGGAAAGCCACAGTATGTCTGTGATGTTCATGGGAGGAGGTAGCTGAATAAGGCAGGCCAGGAACTATAAAACCAAGACATCAAGAGTATGAATATGAATTTTGAATGAATTCTGTAAATTTTACGCAAGTCTGTTTTTTTTCCTCACCTGAATGATGACCAGTGTCAGTTGACACTGCAGTAGGAAGAGGAAGCACTTGCGAATGCCATTTGTGGTGTGTCGCGCCTGAAGATACATCAACAGACAACATTCAGATTCAACATTTTTTTTTTTTAAAGATTGTTTTATTAAATATAGTAAAAATGGACAATTATGATGAGAGAATGGGATTGGGACTGGTTGCAAGCAAGACTCGAACCCGCATGACTTATATTCATGTACTTAATCATTTTTCTTTTCAGTTAACTGACTTTTTTTTACTGTATCTGTCTACATATAATAAGCCGCAAATTTTTTATTTAATTTTTAAAGAAATTAATACTTTTATTCAGCAAGAATGCATTAAATTGCTCAAAAATGAAAGTGCAGACATGTATACTGTTACAAAAGAGTTCCATTTCAAATAAATACTGTTCTTTGGCTTTCTATTCATCAAAAAAAATATTGGGAAAAAAAAATGATCATGGTTTACACAGAAATATTAAGCAGACACTTTAGACATTGAAGACTGGAGTAATAACTACTGAATATCACAGGAACAAATACATTTTTGTTCAAATAAATGCAAACTTGATAATTAGAGACTTCTTTCAAAAACTGTACAGACCCCCAACTTTTAAACTGTAGTAAATTCACTGCATGAGCTTGTATCTTCTTGCTCCCATGTGATTAACAGCCTCATCAACCCTACAGCATGCCAAAGAACGTGTATGTATGTATATATACCTGCTCTATGAGTTTGACCATGCTGACACTCTCGCCCTGATGGAAGGACATGGAGCAGGCGAGGCTGTTGAGACTAGCACTGAGCCCCAGTGGAGACAGCTCATCACAGTCTCCATTCAGCCCGCAGCCCGCAGCATACCCAAATGTCTCCCATGAGCACCGGGATGGGTATAGAGGATCCAGGGAGATACTAAAACACACAGAGAGAGGGTTTCCAAATCCCCACAATCACTTTAAATTCAAATGAGCCATAGAGTACTCTAAAAGAAACTTAACTTCTTTGATGTACACTATATTTTATTATCTCACATATTTAGAATTATGCAATGAACAAAAGCTCAAAGCCAGCTTTTTAGTTTCTTGAAAATTGCCATCCTTTAGATTGCAGCTTTGCATAAGATTATAGGGCATATTTGATTCTGGTGTACAGCAGAGTAGAGTGGCGTGTGTTACCCACCTGATGTCACTCTGCAGAAAAAGGCATCTGTTACGGAAGTTTGCGGAGCTCCCCAAACAGCATGTCACCTCTCTGTTCTCCTGCATGATCTTCATCATTTCACACATTGCTGTGAAACAAACATTTAGAGGGTTCAACTCAAGTACACTAGCATATAAAACACATGGACTAAAATCTACAAAACTTTAAGGGGTCTTTAAAGTCACCATGAGATCAAAATTGACAAACTGACAAAAATCAAGTCCCACCCTACATTTTTTTCATTCGGATATACTGTACGTCATAACAGAAGAAAAGATGATCACAACTTTTGCTTAATGCTAACATTAAAGCTGGTGTTGAGGCTGACTCACTTTCAGGGGTGCAGTCTGTGAACAGGGGCACCAGTAGAGGCACATTGTCTATGTTCTTCAAATGAGGACGAACCTGATGAATGCCACGAGGCAGTTTGGCCTATAGAACAACAGACAGGAAAGAGCATCAATCAGTATTTCAGCAACTGCAAAACATATTTCAAACTACCAAACTCACACTGCAAAGGTGGCACGGAGGCACTTCTAAAGTGGCATTTAAGTGCCATTGGAGTAGACTGCTTACTCTGTTGCAGTCTTCTAAGAAACTGGGCACATCACTGTCAGCAGGCTGGAAGCTGGCGAGATCTGATTGGTCCTCAGGCAGTAGTGGGCCCTCTGCGTCATCACGAGAATCTAAGAACACAGAGAGGTTGTATCATTTAAATAAATTCCAAATGAGGGGAAAAATGTAGTGTATGTCAATTGTGTGTACCGGCAGGCAGAATAACACACTTACCATGCAGAAGGTCATCATGTAGAGATCCTGCTTGGCTAGGGCTGGACGGAGCACCATCGTAGTGACCATCTCCGTTTGGGGTCAGAGAGATGTGACAGTTCCAGCCCGTCTCCAAACCCATCTTCTCTGCAAACACCTACAAGCAAAGCCAGCATTAAGAGGTGACAAAATATGACAGCAAATGCATCGTGTTTTTACTGAGTGTGTTTTCTCATCAGTGTAATACTTTGCTGCGCAGCTCGTCCTCCATGGAGAAGTACACAAAGCGGATACAGGCTCCCACCAGGTTTTCAATGAGCCGTACAGTGTCCAGTCGGGCCTGGAACTGGGACGACACCATTCCCATGAAGATCTGGCCACTCAGAGCCTGCACACAGTCCTCCTTCTCCAAACCTTCTCCAATACCCTCTGAAACATATACAGTACACAAACATATTAAAGTTGGTAAGTTTGATTCATTTCAGTGAATCAGTTTAAACCATCCACTACAAATCAAAAAATGGATCAATCTAGTAATCTATCCATCCATCCATCTCTCTATCTAGATACATATCTATTCATCCTCGTATCTACAAATCGAAAAATCCATCCATCCATGTATCCATCTGTCTATCTGTCTATGCATCTATCCCCTGAGCTATGTATCTATCCAGCTACATATCTATCTGTCTATCCATCTATGTATCCATCCATCCAGGTATCTATCTGTCTATCCACCAACGTAGCTATCCATCCAATCCATCCAAGTGTCCATCTAACCATCTGTCTATCCATCTATGTTTCTATTCATCCATCCATTCAGCTATCTATTCAGCTACGTATCTGTCTATCCCTTGATGTATCTATACATCCATCTAGCTATTTATCCAGCTATCTGTCTATCCATCTATAAATTTATGTAGCTATCCATCTACGTATCTATCCAGCTACATAAACATCTATCTCTTTATGTATCTATGGGATCAGCTGATCGTCAGACAAACATATCAATATATATATTTTTAGCTCTACTGTCCAGACTGGGAGCTGAACATACAATGTCTCTTACCATCAGAACTCCAGCTGTTCCTGCGGCTGCCATGTTTGATGGGGGTGGTACTGGGAAGCTCCACCCCAGAAAAGAGCGTGGGGCCTGGAGCCAGCTCCACACACTTTCCATTGAGCTGTCCAGACAATGCCACCTGCATAGGCTTATAGGCGAATGCAGAACAATATCCTGACAGACAGGCACGTTGGTAGAAATCTAAAACCTTTTTCCTATGGGGCATAATACCAGTACTTTAGTACACAAACAAACTCCACTCTGCATATTAAGAAAACTAAATGACTAGTGTCAGTTTTTTAATTAGTGTCTCTGACCTATCCGAGCCAGACAGCGGATAGATGTCCGCCCCATCCCAGAAATCTGTGCAGGCTTCTAGGATGAGGTCGGCCGAGCCGTGGGAGAGCATCTGTACATTATCTGAACGGAGTTCAAAGGGCAAAGGTCAATGACTAAACAAAACCACCAAGGACAAACAGGAAGTGAGATAGAAAAAAATGGGCCGTACTGGTAGTGCTGTCCCTGACGAACAGACTGATGAGGTGACTGATGGGAGGCTGGCGTTTGGGGAAGTGATGGAGACGGCGGGGGACAGATTCTTTGGCCTTCTCTCCGGAAGGAAGCTGGTACAGAGACAGATGATTCTCATGCTTAAACAGTTCCCTCGCTCCCGGAGTAAAACCTGACATACAACAGAACAGGAAATAACAACCCAGTAATCTTAAGATAGGATGTGAAGACAGTAAAACGAGTTTAACGTCACTAGAAGTACTGCCAGAGTAGAAGTTCATAAATGATTAGGGATGCACAATATCCAAAATATATTGCGCATCCATATTGGCCAATATTAGAGATTTTTTTCAATTATCATTATGGGTTGAGGCTTGCACCAGTATTAATATTCTGCCTGATACAGATAACTGTTAAATGCCTGAAACGAAAATTCAACATTATTTTTGTTGACAAAAATGAAAAATAAAGAACGAAATGGAATTGGAAGAAATGGAAGGAATGTCTGCACACTAGCGAAACCGCTCCTATATATATATATATATATATATATATATATATATTTATTTATAAACAATCCTGGGCCCAATTTGGGTTTTTGGATGCGCACACTGTTTTGTATTTTCTTATATTTAAAAATTTTTTTTAAATAAAACAATAAAAACGAAAACATTGTCATTTTAATTGCTACAAATTAATATAGGCCTCACAAAATAATACACAGTATGAAAAAATATATATTTATGTTTTGCTAAAGAATACATTCAATTATTAGTGTTTTTAAAGATTAAGTGAGTTTTTTGTTTTTACGTTTTTTTAATTTCTGTCGACAATACTAATACAGATTGAATGTGTTGAATAATGATTAAAAAAAGTCCTTTCTGTTTGTATAGCCCTGTATTCTTGTGATGGGAAGCCCATAGAAGCTACAGGAGTCCAAAATTAATGAAAGATTATTGTGCAATACTATAAATCCTGAAAATATATATGTTTATTAACATGCTTCTCTCATTTACCTATAAGGCGAGATAGTTCACAGAGGCCCCAGGGAACATGAACGGGTAGAACCGCCCCGTGGCATTCCTGCAGCGCCAGGTTTGACAAGTGGTCTGAGAATCTGCAGAGCTGCTGGGTGATGGTTGTATCGCACAGGTTCAACAGGATGTTCAAGCCAAGAGGCTTCAAAGAGGGCAGGTGATTCTGCCAACCGGAATCATCAAACTGGATGCTAACAGGGTTCTGCTGATCCTGGGACAGGCTCAACATCTCCAGATGATAGTCGCACACGAAATCTTCTGCTTCACACAGATCATCACCCATACCGCATGGCTGGAAATAGAGACACATACAAATACATAAACCAAACTGCATAGTTAGAACCTGAACCAGCTCAAGCAGCAACATAAAGATGTAGTCCTACCTGAGCAATGTCATCTTCACCAACCTCAGTGTCATGGCTGAAACTGACATTGGATCCTGAAGGGTGTTTGGAACGGGTGGTTTGGGGTCCTCGATGCTGCCGCTGGGTGTCTGAGGAGCGGGCGGTGTCATGTGATGTCTCGCTGGGTTCCTGCTCAGCCATGTGAAGGGAGGGTTCAAACACTGGTAAACACAGCAGTGCTTCGCCTTCCTGAGGCTAAACACAGGAAAACACACACAGACTTAAGTGAGACAAAACACAGGCTAAAACAACAACTTATTCAAGTCCAGCCCTATCAGGTACAATTATATGCTGTATTTTTGCAGAAACCTTATTCAAATCATCAAAATTAAAAGAAATTGTATGATACTCCAGTCTAGCTATCAGCAGTACCTCGTCACGTTCCTCCTCGCCCTCTGTCCTGCAGAGGGAGTTGACTAACAGGTCATCTCTGAGGTCTTCCTGGCTGTCATGAGGAGGTTCTACTCGTCCGCTGAAGAACAACACAGTCTCGGGACTAGGGTTGGGCCAGGACAGAATGCCTTGCTTATCCACACAGCACAGCACCTATGAGCGGGTCAGGAAATATGATAAAACAAGAAACTTCATCAGTTAATAAAGCTTATGATTCTTTGAATTTAAAGCAATACTAATGGAATCATTTTCAAGCAAATGTCTATTGTTTTCACCAAATAATGTAAATGCATTTAATAGATTACTGCACATGATTGTTACAACGATATTGTAAATGCCACTCATGGTATTGATCATAATTAAGTTTTAATTAAAAATTATTTTTGTGTACTGTTGATGAAGAACAGCTACAAAGCTAATACAACTACACTCCCCATTAGGGATATGCCGGTATCAAATTGTCATGTTGCGATTAATTGCTAATGCTTTTATCACGGTATACGGTGTTATCACGGTATTGAACATTAGTTTAAAAAAAGTGCTGTCATAATACAGTATAACAGGTTTAATAACTTTTTTCTTATAACAAAAATAACTGAACATTTAAATGCAATAAAGCAAAACAGAAAAATGTATAAAGCTAAAAGTTTTACACAGATTAAAGTGCAAAATAACTATAAAGACCAATAGGTATCACTTTACAATAAGACCTCATTAGTTAACCTTAATTAATGCATTAACATTCACAATGAGCAATAGCTACATTTGCTACAGAAGTTATTAATTATTAAGTCTTAGTTCATGTTAGCTCATTAAATAACACAGTTGCAACTTTCGATTTTTCGATTTATTAAATATTGGAATACCTAAGATTAATTAATGTTCAGAATAATTTTTCATTGGCAGTTGATGTTAACTAAAGAATTAACTAATGAAGCCCTAATGTAAAGTGTGACCGAACAATAAAGAATCAAAACACTTTCAAACAATATCTAGGGCATGTTGTAGTCCAGATTAAAATGTAAAAAAAGTTTGAAAATAAATAGCCTATAAAGTCTAAATATTTAAGTATTTGGCACTGTGATGTTTAAATGAATTATTATTATTATGATTATTTCTGCAGTTTAGCTCTGCTGTCAGAGAGTGTAAGTGTGCTTTCATTCAGAGCGTCTCTCACGTTCCGCCATGTGCTTCTCGTCCGTGCTTATTTACATCAGTGTGCACACGCGTCTTTCACGCAGCATACAGCGGTGTTGTGGTATTTAGAAGTGCCCACGATAACAATATCGTGCATATTCATTACCGTGATACATCGCATTACCGAATACCGGCACAAGTCTACTCCCCATCAAGCATAAGAATGATAAAATGTGTTGGACAGTAAACCGATTTGCGGTGTTGCATTCATGCCCTCCAGTCTTGCCTTATAAAGAGTATTTAATTACTGTAAACACCTCTTGAAATTTGTTTATACAAACTGAGGGATGTGTTGTAATTATTGTTTGTGGTCATTACCAGCATGATACAGAATCTCAAGGATGTAAACAAACATTTAAGAACGGGGACAGGATCAAGTTCTTAGAATGGTTCTGCTATTAAAGAGATATTAATGGAGCACTAATTTAAAGGGGTCATATGATGCGATTTCAAGTTTTCCTTTCTCTTTGGAGTGTTACAAGCTCTTGGTGCATAAAGAAGATCTGTAAAGTTGCAAAGACTAAAGTCTCAAATCCAAAGAGATATTCTTTATAAAAGTTAAGAGTAAACCACACCTACCTAAAACGGATCGTTCTAACACACCCCACATATCTACGTCAATATGTGGAAATATTAGCATAATGCCGCCCAAATGTGCACGCAAAGAAAGAAGGCGTGGTTTCAGGAACGATTCAGTGCGAAAGCAAAAGCACTTTATTTGGCATTCCGGAAGTAGATGCAATTAGGAATCATTGGTTAAGATTTATTTACAACAGAACAGCACAACCCAGATGTTCGAATTTGTGCAACGCATTTTATGGACGACAGTTTTTTTTGAACCTAGAAGAGTACAAGGCTGGCTGTGCACAAACGCTATTTCTAATTAAAAAAATTAAAAAAAAAGGGTCAATTCCAACTTTGCTATAACAATCTGGCGCTTCTGAATCAGCGACTCTAAGTATGTTTTGTTACACAGTAAGTTTAAGTATTTGCTATTGACTGTTCAAATGCGGAGTTTTGCACAGCGCAGAGTAACGCGTTGTGTGTGTGTGTG